TTTTTTGCTGAGTTTCAGGATTCTTCTGTGCTAGCACAATTAGGATGGCCCGACATGCGTTTGCCGATTCTATACACATTGTCGTGGCCCGACAGAATTTACTGTTCCGAGATCACATGGCCTCGGCTTGATCTCTGCAAGTAATTATTTCCATTACCGGAAAACATGAATTCATTTACTTCAGCTCACCTGTCGAAATCCACTTTTTTTACATGCTTGTTAATAAAAAGGCAAAATTGCATTTTTAGTCATGGTGGTTTAACCCAAGGTTCCAACATTTCGCCTTTTATCTTGTGATTTAATATTTTGCTGCGATTTCAGTCATTTGAGTCCCAAGGTTCCAACATTTCGTCTTTTAGTCTTGTGATTTAATATTTTGCTGCAATTTCAGTCCTTTGAGTCCCAAGTCTCAAGGTTCCAACATTTCGCCTTTTGATCATGTGACTTAATATTTTGTTGAGGTCTGAAATTGCAATAAATTTTCAAATTCACAGATTTTGGATTAGCAATTTAAGTCATGTATTTAAAATTTGTTGCAATTTTAGTTTTCTAATTTAATATTTTGTTGCAATTTCAGTTCCCTGATACCATCCTTATCCCCAACCCAATCCAACCCAACCTAATAATTAAAAATTATTTCTCTCTCCTCCACATACACAACTCAATTTTCGAACCTAATTAATCTTTATCCCTAATACAACTTAACCTAAATATTTATTTTAATTTAATTTATTTAAATTATAATTTTATTTCAAAATATATCAAGTGTGGTCTCTAATGAAAAAATACGAATTTTAATATCTTTTTTATTTTCTTAAACAAAAAAAAATACACTTATCCAATCAAAATGGGACAAGTGTCCCATTTTCATACAGTATGGACGCGACCCAGGTCACATGACCTGGTCGCTAAATCTCACGACCTTTCCTTTTTTTTTTGTTAGTTTTCAATTGGTGACCCACGGGTTGGGTCACCAATAAAGTCAGTCTGAGGACCAAAAAGGTGAAAAGTAAAGTTGGAGCCTTGGGACTAAAATTGCTATGACGATAAACCAAGAGGACTAAAAATGCATTTTTGCATTAATAAGAATTCAACTTGATATTTTTTTTTATTTTTTTTTCAATTATCGTTCAGGCTCGGTTCTCTTACATTCAAGGCTCCAGACAATGTGAAATACCCATCAATGGATTTGGCTTATGCTGCCGGACGAGCTGGTGGGACCATGACCGGTGTTCTTAGCGCAGCTAACGAGAAAGCTGTGGAAATGTTTATCAACGAGCAGTGAGTGATTTTTTTTTCGCCATTTTGCCCCAACTTTTGCTGGATTTTAGAATTCTTGTGCTCGAGTTTATTATGCCGGGGTGTTTGCATTAAACGCACTCCAAAAATGATAGAAATAAACTATTTTTGCAGAATCGGGTACCTCGACATATTTAAAGTCGTGGAGTTAACGTGCGATAAGCATCGATGTGAATTAGTGTCCTTGCCTTCGCTTGAAGATATCGTGTACTATGACTCGTGGGCCCGTGATTATGCCGCCAGTTTGCAACCGTTGATCGGTTTAAAACCTGCACTGGTTTGACCGGAAAAAATGCCGATAATGGGAGTTGGTTTGAATAGTATATTTTTTCAGCTAGAGGGGCAA